TACCACGACCCAATAACTCCGTCCAATTCAATTTTAGACTGAAGAGAAGCTATGACCCGTTATTTATGTATAATCAGTTTACTGACATACTAATTATATATATATATATATATATTATTAAAAGTAGTGTTTTTGTTTGCTTTGGTGGCACATTATAAGGACTTACTTTCTTTTAAGAGAGCCACGTTAGCATGTATTTTCTTAATTACATATTGAGTTCTACAAAAACCCAAACCTAATTTAAATTAGGAAAATTTAGCCAAAACCCCTCAATTGGACCTTTATTTGGTGAAAAGGACAACCCAATTTATTTTACTTCATAAATCCCCTAAAGAGAAAATATATAATTGAATAAGGACAAAGTAAAATATCTTCTTTTTTTTTTTCTTAGACAATATTGTCAGAGTAACATGTTACTGTTAAATAAAGTAACATATTACTGTGAAACAAAGTAACATGTTATTGTTACTGTTTACATCAATTTTGACGATAATAATTTTATTTTTATTTTTATTTTATTTTATTTTATTTTATTTTTTTAAGAATCTCATAGTCAACATAGATCTTATTTGATAGATCTTGATGAGAGAATTTTAAAAGTACTAATTTTATCAAAAACCGACATTTACATCAATAGTTATATTATTTTAAAGTTTAATATTTTGATAATAATGGTATGTGTTGGACTTTTTAAGAAAAACTTGTTGGGCTTGTCCTTAATGCATTAAGATTTTTTATTGAAGGGATTTGACCAAATCTCCTTTTAAATTATACTAATTTTACCTATTTTATATGGACTCTATTTGACAAATATTTCTTTTCTATATTTTTCATGGTAAATTGAGATAATCCACAAACTAATACCAAATTTGCGTTTCATGTTTTTCTTCTTAATTCTTTTAAGCGTATTTTTTTTTAATACTAAATTGCCTCCTTTTTTTTTCTTTCTTATTTCCCCGTGCATTATATAATCACAACTCAGAAGAGGAAAAACCTACACAACAATGACACTCTCAAGAAGCCTCTAAAGTTTAGATTTACTATTGAGTTACTTTTTCAATTGTTAAACAGTAAGTTCTTTTTTATTTTGACATCATATTATAGATAATTAATCACTTTATACACTCAGATGTATCTATCTTTGGATGTTTTCATTATTTTATTTTTTTTGGGTTTAGATGTTGTTATGTGATTCTGTTTTGGTTAATCGTTGTTGAATTTCTTTTATATAATTGATATTTTAATTTAATTAAGAGTATTTATTTTACAATCTTATAATTTAATATATACATATATATATATCATATATGTGGGGAAGTATTTTGTGAGTGGCAGCACATGACTAAGGTGGCATCGAAGTGTCAGCCGAGGTACCACGTGGCTTGGTCATGCTTGTCAAGATGATCTCAGCTAGGCCAAGGTTATCTGTGGAGATGCCAAAATCCAAGATAAGCGACTAATGGACATGAATCCTAGATGAAGGAGGGTTTTAGTTTGGATAAGGATAAAGCTCTTAAGGAGTTCATCCCTATCTAGTTGAGAGTCCAAAATAAGCATTATGTGCTTGAGTCTTATAAAGTGGGGCTTCTAGGTGATTTGGGCACTAATGGCTATAAAAGAGAGGCACCCCCGTGGGTTTCAGGGATGTGTGATATGCTTTGAGCAGTGACTTGTGAGTTATACTTTGATTTAATATCTTTGAGAGATTACTGACTTGATCGTCGGAGTGCCCCTGGGTAGGCGAACCACCGCTAGATTCTCATCTTCTTGTGTGCAGGTTGTTAAGCTTAAACTATTCTATCGGTGCTTTCTAGCTGAGTTTCCTGTTTGGTTGTGTGGTCAAAAATCAACACCCATAATTTGGCGCCGTCTGTGGAAACTTAGTAAGAATAAATGGCCAACATTTGGCAAGGAAGACGAGAATCATCTTGATTCTTAATTTTTGGTTCTTGGTTTTTGACAAGTGGACATTTGAGTCCTTGTTTCATGAAGCCGGTGAGTCATGATCTCAGTCGGAGGAGTATTTCTAACATGTTATTTAGCTGATATGTTGAAAAATCAGACAATATATATTCCATCACCTCTGGTTGCCGAGGTAATAGAACCTAAGGGGCAGTTGTGGGGAAGTATTTTGTGAGTGACAACACATGGTTAAGGTGGCACCGAAGTGTCAGCGGAGGTGCCAGGTGGCCTGGTCATGCTTGCTGAGGTGATTTCGGCTAGGGCGAAGTTATCTATGGAGATGCCAGAATCCGAGATAAACGGATAAGGGACAGGAATTCTAGACGAATGAGGGTTCTAGATTGGATAAGGATAAAGCTCTTAGGGAGTTTATCCCTATCTATCTAAGAGTCCAAAATAAGCATTATGTGCTTGAATCCTATGAAGTGAGACTTCTAAGGGATTTAGGCACTAATGGCTATAAAAGAGAGACAACCCCGTGGGTCTCAGGGATGTGTGATATGCTTTGAGCAGTGACTTGTGAGTTATACTCTAATTTAATATCTTTGAGAGATTACTAACTTGATCGTCGGAGTGCCCCCAGGTGGATGAACCATTGCCAGATTCTCATTTTCTTGTGCAGGTTGTTGAGCTTAATCTATTCTGCTGATACCCTCTAGCTGAGTTTCCCGTTTGGTTGTGTGGTAAAAAATCAACACCCACAATATAAAAGCATTATATGATAATCCAACTTCAACTTATTTATATTTAATTTTTTAAATAAATTTTATATAATTTCTATTTCTACATATTTTTATTTTCTAAATGAATATAAAAAAAATTAAACAGTTAGAATTACTTTTAATTTTATGTTACTAATTCTTATTCTAATTTAACTATTATTTTTAATATCAAAATGAGTATTTATTTTACTAGTTTATAATTTAATATATATCATACAAAATTATTATATGATAATCAATAGAACTAAAATTATCAAAATATACAAATAATTTAATTAAAATTAATATGTATAAGTGTTTAAGTAACAAGTTTATAGAACGATAGCGTCAATATTATCCAAAGAAATAATTTAAATCATAATTTAACTTTAATTTTAAATTTAAATTATTTTTTATAACAAACATTACAAAATCAAATATTATAAAAATAAAAAATTAACACATACATTGTACAGATCAACTGTTAATAATAATACTAATAATAATCAAAAAATCAGATCCTAACGAGGCAACATAGCAAAATTGGTCATACATGGGCGGCGCTGCAAACAAGCCAGCTAGCTACTAAGAAAGAAACTTCGAAATTATTTTCTTTCCATTTTTTTTCTTTTTTTGCCCCTAATTTTTATTATTTTTTATTTTTTGGGGGGGATTTATTTTTCAACCGACCATGCCTCACCACTCCCTAATTAAATATATATTTTATATATGTAAATATTGTGATAATTAAATGAAAAATTTTAATATATACACTCCTTAAAGGATATATTATATGCACTTTTAATTATATCATTTTTTTTGTAATTATGATATTATTTTAGTTATGATTTATGAGTTATTTATTTATATATCATGTTGTGTTTGATTATGACATTTTTTTTATTTATAATTCAAGAAGTATAAAATTATGATATATATTTTTTTCTAATTATAAAATATACATAATACATACCATTTGAAAGATGGAGTTTTTTTTTTTTTTTCTAAGAAAAAAAAATAATTTAGAGAATTGACTCACTTTTCAAACTATTTGAGAAACTAACATACTTTTTAAAATCGTATTTTGAAAATGCAATTTAAAATTACATTTTTAACATGTAATTTTATCTTGAAATCGCATGTTGACAATACAATTTATGATGATATGGACTTCACTTTTTGAAATTATATTTTTAACCTGCGAAGGTGAAATTGCATGTTGAAAATATAATTTCAATTTCAAAATCACATTTTTAAAATGTGATTTCAAAAAGTAAGTTAATTTCTTAACTAATTAAAAAAATAGGTCAATTCTCTAAATTATTATTATTTTTTAGAATATTAAAAACAAAAAAACTCTTGAAAGATGGGTATCATAATATTTTTCTAATTACATATGGAATGCACGCATGCTTCACTTTGGTTATGCTAATAGTCACCACACACGCATGCTTCACTTTGGTTATGCTAATAGTCACCACACTGTGGTCAAGTTTGACAAGTCCAGAATAAGCTAAAAAGGTAAAAAATTACTTAAAAAGTTAAAAAGTTAACACTATTCACCAAAAGTCAACAATTACGGCTGCATAACTCCCAATTCTAATTTTTTCTTACAAATCAATTTTTACAATTTTTTATTACACATTTTTTCATAAAAAGTCAAAAAGTTAACCCAAACATCTATATTTTCTTCCTCAATTTTTTAGTTCAAAAAGATAAAAAGTACACTTATTTAGAACACTCAAAACAACCCCTGAGTATTTGACTTTCTGAAATCATTACCATTGCTTCAAATGCAACATGGAAAATGAGTGACACCCCATTTGGGGATTTCCATCACTCTAAAATAATGTAGATTAATCATGTTGTTTTTTTTCTTTTGTAGACCAATTACAAATGAATGATAGTTGTGGGGTTGTGTTTTTAAGGTCTTAATCATTATTGATGCAACATTATACACTTAAATAAATATATTGTATTAAATCATTATTATCTATTCACTAATCACTAAGTACCAATCATATATGTCACCCCTCTCCCCTCTTGCAAATAAAAAAATAAAAAAAATAGCATGACTACCATCTCCACCATCCATTTCTCCGAACCACGACGATCGATCCGCGTCGGATGCCTCGTCCGAACATTTGTCTTCTACCTGCTGACATCAACTCAACAATTTTTTTTATAACATTATACTAATCATACAATAATTAAACAATTTTCACATAATCCAAATCAACCGTCACTATATAATAGCATTGGCATTGTTGCAAATTAGATAATCACAATAAATACTAGCACCATTGGCATTGCCTTCTTCCTCTCCTCTCCTCTTAAATGGGAAGTCACCGGAATCAGACGACAAACACCGTCGGCTTCTCTCTCCTCCCGGCCGAGCTCATACACTATATAATTCTCAATCTAGTTTTACCCGATATTGTTCGATTAAAATCCACTAATAAGTTTATTGCCTCAATTATCTTTGACCAAGATTTTGTTCGCGAATATAATGTGAAATCGAGCTCAACCACTTGGCTTTTTATTTACACGAAGCGATGGCGTCGTAAATCTATGCTCCATGGCTTTGTGGACGGCTCTAATCGGTGGTTTGAAATTTCGATTTTGGAATTGTTGAATCCGATGGTTTCTCCCTGGGAAGATCTCTATTTTTTGACCGCGTCGGGTAATTACTTTCTCTTTGCTTCCAACACTAGCCAGGAAGTTATTCATGTTAATCCCATGGCTAAGATAGTTAGAAAGATCCCTCCAAGCCCACTAGGTCCACGTGACACATCTTTGTGGCGCCGATCTGGTATGAAATTACTACCTGGCCCTCCTGGGTCGGGTCATTTCCAATTTTTATTTGCTGAATATCATGAAAACCGTCCAGTTTTATTTGAGTATAACTCAGAGATTGACAAGTGGCGATCTATAGAAGCAAAAGAAAATGTTTGGAATTTGCCATGTGTCAATGAAAGAGGGGGTGACTATATTTTCCTTAGTGTCATTAATGGAAGGAGTGGAAGTGTCCTTATTGCCCTTGGATCCGAAGGTGATGACGACCCGGTGGTTATACGACCGAGATTTCCTAGGGGAGGGGAAGAGCAACGGTTGGCCGTAGGATTCAGTTGGGGGAACGTATTTGATCAATTACACGTGTACGGTGATGGAAATATGATGATTCTTAGATCAGATGATGTTGATGATGTGAGTAAAAGGAGAAGGATGTTAGAAAGTGTAGAACTGTGGGGGTTGAGCTCAAATGGTATGTCTTGGGAATTCATATCAATGGTACCGAGTGGGCTAATTGAGAAGATTAAGAAGCCTTACGGGGTTATAATGGGGTGTATAGAGGAAAGACAAGGAACAGTTAGGGCTGTCTTGATGTCCAACTTTGAAGGCATTTGGGACATAATTTGGCTATGCTATGATATAAAGAGAAAGCATTGGACTTGGGTCCCACTCCCTGATTGCAAGATGAAGGGTTTAAACATGGCTGGCATTGCCTTCTCTACTGGCCTCACCTTGTCTTGATTGCTTTCAAATGTGTTTTTTTTCCAAAGCAAAAACATCATGGCGCAGATATATAGAATAATGTTACACTTCACAAGAACTTTTCAGGAAGATAGTCATAAAGATTATCCACCATTGGATTAGTTTGTAATATTTTATTATATGTTATATGCAATTATATACATTATTAATCATAGAGCAGTATAAGATAAAACTAAATTTATATTATTTGCACACTAAGACTTGAAAATTAAAATATACTTACATTAAGGTAAGCCTCTTTTCTTATTTTGTTAACTATCAAAACTAGATTATTTCTAAAACTTCATGAAACTTTTCTTGATATTTCTTTTATGAAACCTAACATTTTTCATATATATATATATATATACACGAATCAAGCTTGTCTTCAATCTACCTTTTAGACTGAGTGGTGCAGTTTGCATGGATATGGGCCCATTTTGGATCCGTTTTAGTGATTTAAACCATTGTATTTGTATATAAAAAAAAAGGGGTCTATTTTTAAGATAATACTTAACATCTATTTTTTTTTACAAAAAATATGATTTGACAAGGTAACTCTCAATGGCCGATCAAGTTAATTTTTTGTCTAAATATGTTCTTAACAAACTTTACAACTTAAATAATTCAAATCATCAAATTGGACCTAGAGTCATGGAAATTGGATCCTCCTTCCTAAAAAAGTGAACTAACAACAAGTTTGATTCTCTCTATATATTGCATCAAATGGCCGATCAAGGGTCGAACTCTCAACCAGTTGAGTATTGGATCAAATGCCGATCACTAAGCTAGATGACAATTGCTATCAAATGTTTGAATCCATCATATGGGCACAATCTATGTATATAATTTATAATTGAATCTAATAATTGTAACAGTTATTTGAAATAGTTTGAAAAAATTAAAATAGTGTATAACAATTATCATATATTTTAGGACATTTTGAAAAAACAAATTATATAACATTTATATGACCAAACGTATATACTTTATATATTAACTAGAGAATGAATGAAAGGGTTGCCGGTTAGATGGGGAAGGGAAAGCGGTGGAATGGGAAAGCGGTTGATGAGAAAATGGGATAGAGTGGTGGTAGTAGGTTGAAAAAGATGAAGAGTGGTGATGGACGACAGTAAAAACAGTAATGAAACAATTAAAAAATTATGATTTAATTTGTTAATGAAGTCAAATCTTAAATTTTATTATTATTTATCATTATTTTTTGTTTTTCAATTTCCCCTATTCTTTTGGGTTTACATTATGGTATACTTTCTCGAAGGTTGGATATTTGAACTTGTCCATGCAAGCAAAAAACATTGTTGCCATTATCCCCAGTCTTAAAATTTGTAGCCATTTCCAAAAATATTTTATTCAAACTTTACCATTTCTATTGAAATATGTACTAAAAATTTCACAAATAATTTTAATTTATTTAGAATTTATAATAAAAAGATTATTAATTGTTGAAATTAAAAAAAATTCAGAAGGCATAAGCATAACACATTAAGAAATATATGAATTTATTGGACACACTACAAGAATTTTCACTTTTGGCGACTAAATTTTTAGTTGCCAAAAGTCATTTTCAGTCGCCAAAAGTCATTTTTAGTCGCCTATAGTCTTTAGCGACTAAATTTTTTGGTCGGAAAATTAGTAGCCGAAGAGTAGTCGGCAAAGCTAATTGGCGATTAAACTTCATTTAGTCGCCAAATGTATTCATTTGCCGACTAAATTTTTAGTCGCCAATAGGTTGGAAAATTAATTAAATAATACATTTTTGCCGACCAATTTTTTTGTCGCCAAAAGCCAATAATTTAGTCGCGGAAAAATTTTTAGCTACTAAATTTTTTAGTCGCCTAAAGCAAATATTAGTGTTTTGGCTACTAAAATTTTAGTCGCCTAAATTCAATCTTTTTGGCTACGTACTAAAATTTTAGTCGGCAAATAGTATTTCTTTTGGCTACTAAAAATTTAGTCGCCTAAACTTCCACATTTTTGGCTACTAAAAATTTAGTCGCCTAAACTCCCACATTTTTGGCTACTAAATTTTTAGTCGGCCAAAGTATTTTTTTATTCTTCAGCTTTTGTTTTTAGCTACGAAAGATTTTAGTCGCCAAATGTTTGATTTTCTTTTGGCTACAAAACTTTTAGTAGCCAAATGTTTGATTTTCTTTTGGCTACAAAACATTTAGTAGCCAAATGATTGTTTTTCTTTTGGCTACAAAAAATTTAGTAGCCAAATGTTTGATTTTCTTTTGGTTACAAAACTTTTAGTAGCCAAATGTTCCCCCCCCCTTTTTTTGGCTACAAAACGTTTAGTCGGCAAAAACATGATATTATGTTTGATTGCAAATATTACAATGTGTCCATAACCTGTCTGTATTCCATGCAACCTGTAATACGTATATAAATAAAATGATACATAAACTATCAATCATTCAACAATCTGCATCCGTATAAAAAAAATAAATTACTTTAACTATCCAAGTACATACAAACCAACTATTGTCCAAACTAAAATAATAATTCCATACAAAATATAGAATCATACAAAAAGTAAAGCCCTCCATATATAAAAATTACATTTACTATACCATGTGCAATGACCATTTGGCATGGTACAAATTCCCATCGTAATCTGTACCACGACAAAAGGTGATGTGTGTATCAAGCCAAAAGTACATCTATGTACCACGAAAAAAAATCATATATCTGTACGGCGACAAAAGGTGATCTATCTAGCATGCCAGTAATTATCTGTTGGCTGCCAAAAGTTTTCTGTATCAATAATAGTTAACTGCACAAAAGCTGGAGATGACAAAAGTATTATATTACTTCTATACAAAAGTACAATTTCTTCTCCATACAACCAAAATATCTCTTGAAGTCCACGCAACAAAGTCATCTACAAAAAAAAAAAAAAAAAAAAAAAATTAGAATTGGACCAAAAAATGCCCAACTTCTTATTCATGTATGTCAGTGCCATTTCAGAAAGGATATTAGAACACGTGATAAAATAATAACAAAAATAAATTTCAATCATAAAGGTAATATATAAAAATGTATATTGAGACACCTATAAATGGTTCATCAAAGAAAGAATACTTGATATCTCATGACGCACATGACCTCAGAAACACCATGAGCATGTTTCATACTTGCATGAAAGCTTAAATATAATATAACACACGTGTGTACGTTCAAAAAATTAGCAAGTTTATAACAAGATGTAAACTGAGTTCATATTGGTTTCTAAATATTTTTTCCATAATTTTCCATTACTATACATCTCCAATACATTCCGTTAGTTGTCACACACAAGTCCTATTTGTAATGGGGAAGCTGCCCGTGAGAGTCAGACGGAGGTTCGGGGGCTATTTTGAAGTTTCGCCCCCAAACGCCCTTTTTCGACTAAGTTTTGGGCATATTCGGCTCTAAATCCCAACCTACAGGTCCGAATAAGATTCCGTCAGTTGTCACAAGTCATATTAGGCATGGGGAAGCTGTTTGTGTCGGCCACACAGCGGTTCAAAGGCTGTTTTGAATTTTCGCCTTCGAAACGCGGTTTTTCAACTAAGTTTTGGGCGTATTCGTTTCTAAATCCCAACCTACGAGTCCAAATAAGATTCTGCCAGTTGCCACAAGTCATATTTGGCATGGGGAAGCTGTTCGTGTCAGCCACACGTCGGTTCAAGGGTTGTTTTGAATTTTTGCCCCCGAAATGCCCTTTTTTGACTAAGTTTAGGGCGTATTCGGTTTTAACTCCCAACTTACGGGTCTGAAGTATGTTCCGTCAGATCTCACAAGTCCTATTTGTCATGGAGAAGCTATCTGTGTGAGCCACACAGTCGTTTGGGGGTTGTTTTGAATTTTCGCTCCCGAAACGCCATTTTTTGACTAAGTTTAGGACATTTTCGGCTCTAACTCCCAACCTACGGGTCTGAATTACGTTCCGTCAGTTCTCACAAGTCCTATTGGTCATGGAGAAGCTATCTGTGTGAGCCACACAGTCGTTCGGGGGCTGTTTTGAATTTTTGCCCCCGAAATGCCCCTTTTCGACTAAGTTTAGGACGTTTTCGACTCTAACTCCCAACCTACGGGTCCGAATTACGTTCCGTCAGTTTTCACACGTCCTATTTTTCATGGCGAAGCTATCCGTGTGAGCCACACGGTCGTTTGGGGGCTGTTTTTAATTTTTCGCCCCCCAAACGCCTTTTTTCGAATAAGTTTAGGGTGTATTCAAACTAATGACTCTATTGCAAATTTGGATATTTTCTTTAATTTTATATATAGGTATTAAAATACTTTCTCTACTCACGTATTTGTTTATTCATTAGAATTTTATTAACCAAAACACCCCTCCATTCCTAAGCATGTCTAATCTCAATAGGGATACAATCTGATTCTAATGTCTTGCCTAGTTTCGAACCAGATTTCATCAACTTCAGTGCAAATTCCACCTCAAACTCTCTTAATCGACAATAAACTTATATTTGTTAGTTCCAATCCAACAAGACTATTGGCTAATGTATTCCTCTCCTCTTTAGTTTTCTAAATGTTTTTCATTTTATCAATTTCTGAAAATAACTTTTTCCACATTTCCTTATTTTCCTCATCTTTCACTAAAACCCTCAAATCCTCACTTTTTATTCATTTAGCCAAATAAAGTCTCTTTTTTACTTTCTTTTCATTTAGCAAGTTTGTAAATATTTTTTCTCCATCTTTACCATCTAATCTAATGTAAAGATTGCCAGAGACTTTTATCTTAACATCTCTAAATGTCCTTTTAACCTTCTTGTAAGCCAATTTAAATCTCTTAAAAAAATTCTCATTTTTATCCTTTTGCCACTTTTAAAAAACACTTTTTTTTCCCCCAAGAGCAAGTATCTTTAGCTATAGGGATTTTTCCCTTTGACTCTCCAACGATTTCTCTCGATATTCTTTTAAAGCATTCTGCCATTGTATTCTGCATATTGTTAATATCACCTACCACACTCCAT